GAGAGAGAGAGAGAGGTTGGATATGAAAATATGATCCTGACTTCGGGGCTCTAAAATACAAGAGATGCTACCACTACAAGACCATATGTACCTTTTGCACATCCTCTACATCTGTAAATGGTCCCTGTAGAAATCTGCAGTTGCGACCTAGCACTTCATGCCTAGAATAGCCTGGCACATGAGCAAATTATACAATGACCCTGTAATCCTCATTTGGTTGCATAAAGAATCTAGGACATTGACAACTTATCATTACAAATGCCAAAAGTGAGCACATTGAAAACCCTTTAAATTTCGTAAAATGAGTCTTTTCCAGTTTCTAATCAGCAATCAGAATTAAACATGGATCTAGCCCAGGCTTCCCCTGCAGAGAGACATCGAGGAAAATTCATGTTAAGGATAGGCATAAGAATACCATGGAAGACTAAAAGAATCAAGTTATTACATATGCATTTCATGCAAAGTGGAAATAATGGAAGCAATAACATGATGTGTGACATTTGTTCTATGGAAAACCAGATACAGTGACTCTTTCAAATGGTCATAAGCAGAAGAATGAAGATCAAAAGGAAGCAGCATCCAACTGGCAATATTTATCTGGTCATCAGACAAAAGCTAGAGATTAGAAATAATAAATTCAACATGAATGGTAAGTAATTTTATGCAATGTGCTACTGTGCTTAGCATAATTTAGTCAAGATAATGAAACTTAATACTCATAAAGAGGACCATACTGTGGAACAGTTAGCACTTTTTTGCAGTGCGTTACTGTTCTCAGTTAAATTTAGCCAAGTTAACGAAATACTATCATACTATCACACAAGGAGCATATTATGGCAGTCCTAGTGCATATTCTAGCATTTCCCCTGTTCTCAAAAATAAATCTGGTAGTTTAGCATTTCGCTGAATGTTCTAAGGATTGAGGACATTGTTTTGGCACATTCACAAAAATACTCCTAAGCATTTTAGGCCTTTCCCCCACTTGTATTACCCCCAATGGACCAGGATCCTTTTCTAGGGCCACTTCAAGGCAAACAGGGCATGACTGAACCTACAAATCTGCAAGGAGGATGCCAGCCATCCTGATTGAGCATTTTGCAATAAACTCCACAGATTTCCAGTATTAAAATACAAGACACAAAGTACGGGATCAATTCTGTTAACATGTAGATTTCATAGAAAGAGAAGAAGGAGATAAACCAAAAGCGAACACTCTTCTTTTTGCAACATTATGATTAGTTAGGACCCCAAGTTCGGTATCACATTACTCTGGGGGTTCAGCTCAACCACTTCTAAATTAATCATTTGTTTGAAGGTGACACCAAGATACTTCCAACCAGTGGTTTAAAAAACAGATCGGTGGAACGGATTGGGCACCCCAAAAACCCATCCAGATCGGTGAATCGGCGATCCGGATCGGGAATCGGCCGAATCGGTTCGATTAAGCTTTAAAAAAATCTAAAAAATTTATTAAAATTCATTATAAATGTTATTTTTTAGGAATCCAATAAGAAATCGGGGTACTACATTATTAATTTTCATTTTTTCATCAATATGTGAATATTGAAATGTTTTTTCCCTGTATGAACTTACTTTGACTATTAAATTTACATCACACAAAAAAAAAATCATAGAATTATCATGGATGAAATATATAATCATAGATGGACTACAATAAAGAATGGTTTTAATCGATAAAAAATGGCCACCAAAATCTCGAATCGGTGGAGAACATTATATACTGAAATTGAACTTGTTGGTTTACATTTTATAATTATTTTATTACACAAATAATAACAAATCCAACCTCTTATTTTTTACAATAAATATTTGTTGTATTACCTTTGATCTTTTTTTTTTTGACAAAAACCTTTTATTTCTTATGACAATAACTTTTTATTTATTTTTTTACAAGAAATGCTTGTCGTATTGCTTTTTTTTTTTTGTTTAACAAGAACCTTTTTTTTTTTTTAACAAGAACCTTTTTTTTGTTTTTAACAAGAACCTTTTTTTTTTTTTACAAGGAATACTTGTTGTGTAACCTTTTTTTTTTTTTTTTAGAAGAACCTTATATTTTTTTACAATAAAATTTTATTTTTTGACAAGAAAAAGAAATTTTGTTGTATTACCTTTTTTTTTTTTTTTACACGAACCTTATATTTTTTTTACAATAAGCTTTTATTTTTTGACAAGAATTTTTTTTTTGTTGTATTACCTTTTGTTTTTTTGACAAGAACCGTATATTTTTTTTTTAACAAAAAATATTTTTTTTTATAAAAAACTTTTATTTTTTTTGTAAAAAAAAATTATTTTGTGAAAAGGAAAAAATTAATTTGTTTGTGAAGGAATGATGGCACCTGGGCAGGAATTGATCCCACGATGTCCAGCGCACAAAGCATCACTCTAACCACCACGTCAAATGTTAAGTTGTGATACAAAGAGGTCACTCAATAATTATATCTTATTTCTTTCTGAGCTATTACCTTGGAGCAATTGTCCCACATCGAACCCACAGAACAAATTTGGTAAGGATAAATAGTCTTCTGCTACCAAAGCTAGTCGCGAACTAAACGCACGTAGCAGTGTGGGTTTGTGATGGAGCACGTGTTTTTTACAATGGGTACCCATTGTAACTCGAAAATTTACAAAAATGCCCCTTGTGACTCATGACATCATGCATGTGTACAGAACCGGGGGAGTCATGACATCAACCGGGCGAGTCATGGCGTCAACCGAGTGAGTCATGGCGTCATCCAGCGATTCACTGTACTGAATCACCGGTTCTCTAGAATCGGGCGATTCCCGATTTTACAAAAGAATCAACACGGGATGACCGATTCCCGGTTTGAATCGGCCGATTCCGTGCCGACTTGGCGATTTTTAAACCACTGCTTCCAACTATTATATGTCCATACCTCAGTCATAAATATTGTTTTCATTCAACCTCTATTAATGTTAGACAAACTGACTTTGCCATTGCCAATTCTCTGATCAAACCATTTCCAGGAATGAGGACATCATCCAACCTGGTTAGCAACCTACTAATCGTAATGATCTTGTCTTTAAAGACCTGAAAAATATTTTCTTTGAAAACCTTGAAGTCCTTTGTAAACACAGGGCACTGGATGCTTTCCTCATCTTTTGTAGAAAATATTACATACTCTGAAACCTATATTATAAACCGCCTCCAGACTAGACCAACACTTCTATAGCTTGTGACCAGCCATTAAATATTTATTTCTAGAGATGTTTACCTTGGCTACAAAACCACAGCTTATAGTAGTTGAGATAGTGAGAAGGTATAGGCAAAAAGACTACTAGGACCCAGAGCCAGGAGGGAACTCAAGCATGAAGAGTTTGAGATATATAAAAACCTGTGCTAGAGATATAACAAGTCTACTTCATGCGGAGTAATGTGACTCTGATTTGGGTTGCCAAAACCCATGGAGAATTCTTAGTGGGATCCATATATCAACATATTACCTGGAGGGTGGAAGCAAACCTCAGAGTTAGAAATATGTGGCTCATTCCAGGCCCCTTGAAACACAGGCCTTTACGAGACTCACCCAAGTCAACTTGGACTCCGGCAAGTAACTTGGCCTCACCCAGAAGGCGAGGCTGAGTTACCCTGAGTTTTGCGTACAACTCGGGGAAAAAAAAGAACGTGTAAAAAATATGGGATTGCTCTACAAACGTTTTACATGTAATTTGGATTTTTTGGCAAAGATTGGTGAGTATTTTTTGGCATAATTCAATTAGCCAACTATAAATCAATTTATATTTTTATTTCTTTTTATATTTTCTTTTTTTGGAATTTTTAAAAATGTCCCTAACTATAAATCGGTTTTTTTATCCATTTTTCTATACTTTTTTAAGAGTTCTCTGATCTGGTGTGGGTCCTGCCTCCTATTGATCCATTGCTTGCACTTCATCACTTGGACTTGGTGCTGCTAGCTTTGGTGCTTTGGTTCATTTCAGTAGAGCAAGAGAAAGTTGTTTACCGCACTATTGCCTAACCAGTTACAATTCTAGGGAGAATGACTATTCTCCCAAGTGTTTCAAATTTGGAATACCCTGATCACCAGAGGACTGGTTTCTGATTCACCTGATCCAAATTGGTAAACGGGAACTGGTGAATGGACTCTATGGATAAAAAATAAATATATAAGAATCAAGGAGATTCCGGCGATTCCTTACTTCCCTATAACAGAGTTCCCCACCAGTTATCGCCTGGTTTGAACCACTGATTTTAAAGACTGATTATCATGGATTCTTAGTATTATGGAACACATGGAAGGAGAGGAACAGCATATGCTTTAGAGATCAAAGGCATAGAATTGAGTGGATAAAGCACAATCTCAGAGCTAAAGTGGTGTTGTGGCCACGATCTACGAAAGGATCAGAAGCTGCTTTTAAAAGTATTGGGACACAGTGAACAAGGCAACTGAGAGAGAACTAAGGTCAGGGCAGTGACTCTCACCACAAGGAGTAATAAAAATGAACTTTGATGGGAGAAGAGAACCCAAGGACTGCAGGCAGAGGAGGACAAGAGAGGCATCATCAGGGAAAATACAATTAACAGGCTCATCATGCTTGTATACTTGTAGTTCCAACTGAGCAAAGGATTGGTCTCTGCTCACTGGCCTCAGAAATCGCGATCCTAGACAGATGCCAATCCTCATTGAGGGAGATTCTAGCAATGGCATAGCTTAGTCCGAAGGAGAAAATGGATTCCCCTGGCACTCACAAAGTATCTTCAATGAAATTTGTGAGTGCTTTGAGACAATTTAGAGCAACTCTTAACATATCATGGGGAGAATCTAATGAGGATGCAGATGCTCTGGCAAGGAAAGGAATCATGAAAACTGGATTTGATGGCTATTCATTTCAACGAGTAGCTCATAGAATCTTAGAGTCTGATGTAAATAGGCTCAATTTCATAGATGAACACATATTTGGACATCAACTTTTCTCAAATCAATGACGTATGGTTACCATTACCACATAAAAAAAAAAAAGAGAGACGGGGGGACAAAGTTCATAAAAATATGCATTTCATGTTTTCTTATGCCATTGCCACGTATTAAAAGAAAAGATTGAACAGTAAGAGCCACATTGTCAATGATTAAGTTTTTCTTTTTTACAATCATGGTTGACGCTTAGACTTACACTTATTTTTGTGGTAGTTATTGAAGTACAACACCTCAAGTTCTTTTCTACTATTCTACTTTTAAGTGGCTGCTGGTTATTTTGGCTCATCCAGTTCATAATATTTGATGCTAGAAAGGAACCATGGGCATATTCAGACCTGCTTTTATGTATCAAAGAACCAAAATCTTTTTTTTTTTTTTGGAAACTGTAACTTTATGTATTGATAAGGGAATAAGAAAAGTACAAGAAGCGAAAGACACTCCAAAAAGATAGACCATCCATGAAGAGCGGGCCCTATACAAAGCCCATCAGGGCCCAAGAAAACAAGGGGACCAGATGATGTTTACATCGATTCACAGAAGAACCACAATCATTTTAGATTAAGTTTTCAGGATGAACTCCTTTTTGTTTAGGGTGAGATTTCAATTCTTATTAGCTATGAGGTTTTTTTTTGTTTAGTTTCGTTTGCTTTTGTTTGCGGTAAGTTTTAGGGAATGGCAGAAACAGACCCCACTCTCAAAATAAATGTTTCAGTTTTCTTGGTCCCATTTTCAAAGCTTAGATTATTTTATTCTTGTGTACAGATACCAAAATACAACTTCCTCAAGAACTTTGGGTTTAATTTTTCTTGCTTAATGTTTTTGGGAATTTTTTGTTCAAATCCATAATTGATGGAGCTAGAAAGGAACCACGGGCATTGATCAAACCCATAGTCAAATATCAAAGCCCCGTCATTTGTTTAAAAATAAGAATTGACGAGAAACTCCTCAAAATTGAGGATTCTTTTTTTATTTTATTTTTTTGAGGACATCCTTACAGCAAGACCCCTACAATGTAAATTATGGAATTAAAAAAAAACAGGGACCCCTATAATGTAAATTTTTATCTCACAATGGTTGTTATTTTCATATATCAATTGATATCACAGTTGTATGCTTCTTCTGTATAGTTCCTTCTCTGTTTATGGTTCTTTAATGAATTAATGTTCAATTTATTTTAAAAAAAAATTAACGTTCAACGCTCACTTGTCACTGAGCTCCGAATTCCATAGAGCTCTGAAGTCCGTAGTAATTTTTGAAGAATGGACATAATCAAATCTTGGAAACAATGTCATCATGAAGTTTCTATAGAGTTCAGCCACATAATAAAAGAAATAAACTGGAAATACTAAAAGACTCAAGCTAATAGAAGTATCCGCAATTCAAGGGTAAAAAGATTTAAAGTAATGAACCTGTCAATGTTAAAAAAGCATCACTTGCATAAACAATGGACATGTCAGGTGAGTGAGGATCAGTTCTGCAGCAATACAAAAATGTGGTACGAGCACACATCAAAATCTCACGGAAAATGAGCTTTAGCCGAAATACAAAGAAAAAAAGGAAATTATAACAACTCACAATACAAAGCTCTGTTTGATTCTACCGAGAGCAATAGTTAACGACGTGGAAAGAGGGCTCACAAAGCCGCATCTTTCACCAGATACAGCTCCCCCCATCAACTTGCTATAGTGTGCCAACTTTGATAAAATGTTATTAATTGTAGAGATTGCTTTCTCCTTCTCATGTTCTCTAGCTTCACCAGGCTCATCAGCCTGCAAGCCTGCCAAAATTAAGTAAGCCCATAAGAAGAGAAAGGAAAACATGATCAATGAATGCTCTCATAGACCTCATTCATGGAAAATAATATAGTAATGATATTAATGACAAAGAAATTACCCCATCAAAGTTTAGAAGAAAAACGAAATTGCACCATCAAAAATATAGAAGAAAAAATAAATCACCCCATCAATACCAATTGGATTAATAAGAAAAGCGACCAAGAATTGGACCAAAATGAAATAGTTGGGATTCCAAAGCAAACCTCGGTTATCAGAATCGACAAAGGTGAGATCCAAATCAATGGATGGGTCCTTATAAACCTCTTTTCGACAAACACCATAGAGAAATCCATTGTTAGAAAGGGACCTGGTTATGCTCCTGAAATGGGAGGACCCACTGTCCTTAGAGATGGGAACTTGAACTCCAATGAAGTGAACTACTCTACCATCTTGTTCTGAGAAAACAGGGCACAAATGGAAAAGAATCCAAATTGGGGTCCCATTTTTCCTATAATTCAATAAGCTAATCTGAAGAGTTTTATCTTCTCCAATTGCTTCTCTGATTTGCAAAACTGACCCCCTATCAGTATCAGGACCTTGGAAAAATCTACCATTTTTACCGATAATTTCATCTCTCGAGTAACCCGACATGTTTAGGAAACCTTTGCTTGCATATACAATTGGATGGCCTGAAAGGCAAGGATCAGTGATCAAGAAATTCTCAGGCAATTCATCAAGAGCTTCATGAATCCAATCGGAATAACGGTTAGTGAGAGATTGATGGATGGAAGAATGGGTACCCAATTCAGATCCCATTTTGCTCTCTCTAACCTGAATTCTCTCTCTAACCACAGTGCTCAATCCCATAACATCAATTCCCGATCAATTGGCATGATACATAAGAGTTCACTGAACAACCTAAATTTCTTATGGGGAGCTCAAGATTCACTAGAAATAGAAGTGAAAAGGGAGAAATAATTGTAGGGTATCACAAAATGATCATATACACAAGAAAGAAGCCAGCTTTGGCATGAATTGATCCATGAAAAACAGAAAAGCTGAAAAAAAAAAGTGGTAATAACAGGGATAAGGAAAAAGAACGATACACAGTTCTTCTAAATAGCCGGAAATCAGTTGTTAAAAATCCATACCAATAATTTCATATTATTAGCAGCATGACCCCCAAAAATATCTTCTCAAAGAGAGAGAAGAAAGCAACCACACACAACCAATCGTCCTTCACTGAGAGAAGTAAATTAAATCCAAATCCAACAAGTCACTTTCTATCTCTCTTCTTTCTCTCTCAACCCCAACACCTCTCTCTCTTCGGTGTGAGATGTTACGAAATCAAAAATTAATAAGACGAGGAAAAACGATATCGCCCCAAACATTTACCGAAGTGGACTGAGGCGAGGGGTCCCTCCATTGAGTAATAAAGTGGAGGATTGAGAGGAAACGTGCACCTGTGGAAGAGGGCATGATCCAGAGAGTGAAAGCTCTTTTTCTGTCGAGTTTTTCTATTTTGTGATTGAGAGATCGAAAGAAAACGATTTTATAGTTTATCTCTCTAGATTTTTTATATTTTTTGTGGAGAGAGAAGAGAGAGAATAGATTCTCTTCTTATATTCTTTGCTGGCTTACAAACAAAACAAGAGTCCCCATTTTTTTACTTACCGATCTAAAGAACTCTGAGCAAAGCCAATTGAAAGAGACTCTGAACTTTTTAGAGAGATAGGGGTTAGGTTTTTAGTAAAAGAGAGAGAAGTGTTCTTAAAGAAGATCCCAGGAGCAGGTAGAGAGAGAAAACCGATAGTCGTGGATTTGAGGAATCAAGTAGAGAGAAAAAATCCTTAGTTGTGAATTTGGTAGAGAGAGAGAGAGAGAGAGAGAATAGGTTTGCTATTTGTGATGCTTATCCATCCACGTATTTGGTGGGTCTCTGAATTTCTCTCTCTATCACTCTCCTTCCAGGTAGAGTATGACAGTTTTCAACCAAAAACAAAGCATCCGTTCCACAGACTGCAGTCTATACGGTGCTACTCCATTTTCAGTAAATACCATAGTGCTGTCTTATGCATATATTTTTTTTAAATTATAGAGGGTGCGGTTTGTATGGAGTAGAGGCCCTATAATGTAAAGTTCTAAACGATCCAATTAAAGGGCACCATCAAATATTGACAGAAATGTTGTTTCACTATGGGTAATCTGATAGTCTTAAAAACATATTTTTATTTTTAATTATATAATTTAAAATTTTAAAAATAGTATAAATCAAACGGACTTATACAAACTTGAAAACCTTGTAAATTGATAGTCCAAAAATGTGTTACAAAACATACTATTTTCAAAACTTGAAATTTATTTTTTTCTCATAGATAATTGATTCCCAAATGATCAATTTGAATATATTTAGGCATCAAAACAACCTCTTTTTATGAAATTCTTGATGTGGGCGCTAATTTGATTGTTTAGAATCTCGATTTTATATAAATTTTTTTCAATTATAAATATTTTTAAAATAAATTTTGATCCAACAATTTTTTTTTTTTTTTTTGGGCGGATAAATTTAGTATATGTTTCTCTTCTAAAAGGTCCAAGAATCCTGCTCTCTCTCTCTCTCAATGATCAACTGTACCACCAAATTTAAGTAGGAATCAATGTTAGGTGGAGCAAGGCTAGTCACCAATAATCCATACATGAACATGTCCCATCTCTAAAATGGTGGAAACGGTTCCGATCCCTCACTACAATTTCCCGGCCAAAAACCTTGGACATGAGCTTCGTTACGTCGTGACAGTCAGTGCACACTCGGAGGTTCTTCACTATCCGAATCGGAACCTCTGGTCCCAAGCTGATAAACCCAAAAGCAATGGCAAGCTTCTCACTGTGCCTAGAGAGAGAGTCCTCTTTCTCTTCTTCCTCTATATCAAACAACACTTGGGTTGTGTTTGGCATATATCCTTCTAATCTTAACCTCCCCCAAATCTCCCCCAACTTAGCTTCAATCTCTCTGAAATTAGGGTGTGATCTATCTCCCACAAAGAACTCATGAACCACCCCATCCACTTCAATCACACTACAACCAGGTTCCTTTCTCACTCCTCTCTCTCTCATCAAGCTCCTCAGGCCTGAAACTCCATCCCACTGGTTTGAAGCTGCATACATGTTGGATAGAAGCACATAAGCCCCATCATGATGGGACTCTATCTCTATAATTTTGTTCAATGCATATTCACCCAGCACTAAGTTCTTGTGAAGCCTACAAGCACCAAGAAGAGCACCCCATGCACCAGCATGGGGATCAAATGGCATACCATGTATGACACCCACGGCCTCCGATAAGAGACCAGCACGCCCATAGAGATCGACCATGCACCCGTAGTGCTCGGCTTTCGGTTCTATACGGTAAACCCCCACCATTTGATTGAAGAACTCTCGCCCCTTCTCCACCGATCCATTAACACTACAACCATGCAGAAGAGCCACAAATGTGACCTCATTCGGGGCTACACCAGCCTCTCTCATCCTGCCAAGGAGCTCGATGCATGCATCGCCGTGGCCATGCATGGCCATCCCACCCATCATGCTACTCCATGTGAACACATTCTTCTCTTGCATTCTGCAAAAGACCTCCATGGCTCTATCTATGTTCCCACACTTAGCATACATATCAATCAGTGCAGTTCCCAGTGTAACAGTGAGCTTAAGCCTGTGTTTCTCTATATAGACATGAACCCACTTTCCTTGATCCATTGCACCAAGGTGAGAGCAAGCTGATAAAACTGAGACCATTGTGGCCTCATTAGGCCTCACCCCATCTCTTTGCATATCATCAAAAAGGCTCAAAGCCTCTCTTGAATAACCAGCATGGACATAACCAGTTATCATGGCATTCCACGCTATGGAATCCCTCCGAGGCATTCGGTCAAAGCACTCCCTCGCACGATCGAGGTCGTTGCATTTAGCCCATGCACCGATCATGGCCGTCCAAGCGACAATGTCGGGATCCGGGCTTTTACCAAACAATTGACGGGCAGATTCAACATGGCCAAAATTCGCATACATATGGATGAGAGCACTCTCTACATGGCCATCAAGCTCAAAACCGAGCTTTATAGCTGATCCATGGACTACTTTTCCATACCCAATTGATGAAATTTGAGTGCAAGTTCTCACTAGAAATGTGAAGGTGAAATTATCAGGAGGGACTCCGGTTTTCTTCATGTGGTGGTATAGAGAGAGACCTTCTTCAGGTGTGGAGCTCTTGGAGTAAGCTCTGATCATGGTGTTGAGAGAGAAAATGGTGGGTTCTTTGGTGAGAGAGAGAATCAAGCGCGCATAATCGAGGTTCAGTGAGTCCGAGAGTGCGCAAAAGGCTATGAGTTTTCCGGCATGAAAAGCGTCCTGGATGATGGTGGTTGTGATTGTTTGGGCAAGGATTTGCTTGAAGTGAGCCATGGAAGAGCAGGACTCAAGGAGAAGAATTGGGTGCTTGGAGATTGATCTCAGAGCTGCCATTCTTCTCTGACCAGAAGGCAATGTTGTTTTCCTTTTCCGTGAGCTACATCTCTCTCTCTCTCTCTCTCTCTCTCTCTCTAACTGAGCAGTCTTACATTCTCTCTCTCAACCGAAGTCTACTGTGGCTTCCAAAATCCAAGGGTCTCTCTCTCTTCCCGCCACTTTCAGTTCTAACACTGAAACGAAGCTTTTCGGACCGGGAAAAGCTTATGTCGAGTTTCAAGAGTTTAGAACCCCAAACACATCCAAATTATTGCGAATCCCTTGCATCTCAAATTCATGAATTTTGATCTTTAGAAATAGAGATTGCAGACAACATGAGGAAAGGTTTAGCCCTAGAAATGTTTTTCCTTTCTTTCCCATGTATCCATACATTTTTAAGATTATAGAGGATTTTTCAACATCAAAGACAAATTTTTGTGATGGGTTATTGAGGTGCCCTTTCGCACCTTATTGAAAAAAGAATCCAAAGTTTATGAAAGGTGCCAATCATATACTCTAAATTTAAGGCATATCCTTATTATCCACCATAAAAGGTTAGTTTGACACCGAAATTTCTTTAGTTGATCATCTTGAACTGAATTGCATAGATATGAAGAAAAAAAAAATTTCTAAGTCCTCAAAATAATGCACTTTGTTTCAAATGTTTGTAGACATGTTTGACTGGCACTATTTTTTTATATTTTTTTTACTTTAAATTTTAGAGTTAGAGCTGGAAATAGATTTTCTACTCATTGTAGAGTTACAACCACTAAAACGGCATCTTGCAACTAGTTGGAAATGTGTCTTACTTTGAATATTTAAAGTTGACACCTTATAAAAACCACACCTATAATATAACCATTTAATATAAAAACTACATTTATAATATAAATATTTAATATAGATACGACATTTGAATAATTCAAATGAGCCACTCCATTGAAATGAGCCACTCGAAGTCCCCCGGTTTTTCAAGGGTTTTAGGATGTAAAACACATCCCAAAATTTATACAAATACTTTTCCACCTCAAATTCATGAATTTTCAATCCATGGCTAGAGGCTAATGATTTGCACAATGTTGGAGATAATTTTTTTAAATAGTGACATGGTCAATAACACGTTGTCAGCCACCTGATTTCCCACCTAATGATTTCCCACCAAACAGCAAGGATGAGTGGATGATTATGACTTTCCTGTACTAAAAGATAAACAGCCTTATTGTATATTTTCCCCAAATGGAAAAAATATAAATAAATTAATTATTACGCAATAAACTCACAAAATTAGAACACAAAAAGGCAACAACTATAGGGATACAGCCCCTTAGCAAAGAGGGTACACTCCAAAAAGAAAAAAAAAAAAGTCACATCAAGAGAACATCAAGCTATCTGAGTAAGTTACAAAAAATTAAAAAAAGAAACAGAGAAAGCAAGAAAATTCCAAAAAATAAAAAATGAACTAAATATATTATTCAGTAGATGAAGAAAACCCCTCAAAAACTAGCTTTACATAAAGCAAAATCTACCTGGAAGCAGGCTTGGGAGCTGGAACTATACCTAATTTCCCCCTCACCTCTTCCAAATCCTTATCAAAATGCTTCTCATAGTATACACACATGAGATCAGTACACCGCATCCCTGCACCGACCGCCCAAGGAAAGTAATGACGAAGAAAGAGGTCCCTTTGCTTGCTACTCATCGTTGAGGGACCACCGATAGCTGAGAGAAAGCACATAGGAAGAAGCATTTGCTCAAACTCTATAACCTTTAAAGCTGATTCTCCAATAAGATTAGTAGGGAGATCAAATAGGGTGTGCCAAAAATCGTGGACCTCTCGAGCTCGAGTGGCCACATAAGCAAGCTCTTCAGTATCCATGAATCGTACAGGGGGTCGATCATCGGGTGAGAAGTTTCTTGAACCCATGAATTGAGCATAAGCAGCACCGAATGTGTGGGGTGGTAATTCCCAAGCATGGCTAACAGCTGATGAAACCACACGTGGGCGATCTAAAAGTATTGCCTGTTAAGAACCCAAATGAAGAAAATTGAAGTTACAGAAAAAGGAACAAGCATAAAAGAAAAACAATGAACATTAAAGGAGAGGAGAAGCAAATAATATAAAGGACGAAAACACATGAGTGCAATCATTGGAAAAGACTCAGCTAATTTAGAAATGCGGCCAACCAACTCCATGATGTGCAATTGCTCCATACATTTTCAGTATCATTTATTACTATACCTAAAACCACACTACTACTTTTTCCCTTTTAGGTTTTTCATCCTTTTATTGGAAATACTTCACATTTCTAAAGTGTAGAAAAAACACACAGGGTAGTCTGATTAAACTGCAGTTGATGGAAAAGATGGTGACCTTAGATAAACTCTTTTTCATGGGTCAGCCAGTCCTTGGATTAATGGTTTCAGCTGAGGCTTTAGGAGTGGCTATGCAATCTGTTTTGACTGCTGGAGGAATAGACGAAATTTTTTAAGCTCCAATCTCTTTCTCCCCTTCCATAGATCCCCTTTCTAGCCACAAGACTTAGCATATCTTCACCCCTGAAGATTTTCCACCAGCCCAAGCTCCCCTCTTCCCTCTAGAGAGGGAGGCTCTATTTTGCTTGATCGACCCCCAGAGTAAAATCCCCCAGCCCACCCAAGGCAAGTCCTCCATGGCTTAAGGCTTAAAGAACTCCAAATGAAAAGTAGCAGTACAACAAACCAAAACCCCTGCCGCTGACCTGCCAGTGAGAGAAATTACCCATGGACCAAGACCGATATCAGGTTCAAGTCAACAGGACTCCCCAAAGAGTTCTCCCTTTTCCAAAGCTTACTCTACCTATACCCATCTAATCAGACCCAACAGAGGTGTCCCACCAAATCTACCTTTATCATTCAGCCAAGCCCTTCAGGCTGTCCCAGAAATGAACCATCCAGAGCTCTAAAATATAGATTGGCCGTGAGGGATGGCCCTCCATGGTATCAATCTGGATCAGCTGAATCGGGCAATGGCCAAATCAGTGATCCAGCATAAACTTCCAAAAAGAAAACAAAAAAAAATGAAGAAAAACAAAAAGAATTGCACTAGATTATCACCCCATCTATGATATGTTAGTTTGATGATTTAAATCATCAAAAGAAATTTTATGGAGAATAGGGCTGATTCCTAATTGTAGGAGGGAATCAGCCAGTGAGGCACCGAATCAAATCTTCTACCACAAGTAATCACAATCATGGAATCTTCTCATTCAGCCAGAACCCAATCCCACCCTACACTCATCACAATAGCCCAGGCCACAAAACAGCTTCTCTCAAACCCTTTTCTCTCCAAAGAATCAGTCAGTTTCAATCTTTGTGAGAGGAAATAAGCTCTGAAAGAATGGTCCTCCTGTGTGACTCGCTAGTAGGTAATTTAGAATCCCACGGGCACAATACTAAGTTGATCACAAATGGGCGAAATACCTGGGGAAGTCACCTCAGTTAGACTGCATATTGATTGACAATGGAGGCATGCTATTTCCTTCCCAAACCAAAAGCAGGCTCAGAAAGCCCTAAATCCTCAGTTGTGAATTCAAAGGAACGGCTCTCAGACTCACTCCTTGAAAGCCAGCCATCAAGCCTGCATGTCACTATAGCTCCCTCACTGTAGTTGGTATGTATTTTTCAAGTTTATCACTTGCATGTAGAGTCTGGGTTCCAGAAAGACTATTTACAAGTGTAACAATAAGCCTTCTGGTAGTAAGTTCAAGGGATTAATTTACGTATGGACCATATTGGGGGAGGGGGGGGGGGTCAATTACAAAATGGGACCACGTTTGTTCAATACGGCGCCCCCCCCCCCCCCCCCCCCCCCGAGGCGAATTGTTTAATAATGCGAATACCGGACGTGTGGGGTTTATACTGTGCAAAGCAAAATAGCTATCCAGTGTTTGAAACACCAGACAATTATCTGCTATCCCCAAAATTTAGGTTTAAGAAGAGAAGAATGGAAAACTTCAAATAAGAGAAAATTATCATTAAATTTAAGTTTAAGAAGAGGATAATGGCTACCAATTGAAGAGGGAAATTGGGTCAAAAATTATATGTGATGCATGGATTCTGGTTTTATGAGCGACGCAGAGCGAGGATAAGGTTTATGAGCGACACAGAGCAAGGGCAAGGATAGTTATGAGTGCTATGAGGCCTTGGGGGTTGCGGGGGTGGAGCCATGAGAGGGCAGAGGCGAATGGGGAGTGGGTCAGGAAGGGGGCCCACGAGATGAGGAAATGATAGAGTCGAGAGCAGAGGTGAGAAATGGAAGAGCAGAGACGGACCAAAATCCTTGAGAGAGAAAGCCTTTTTACTGATTGGGAATTGGATTAGCTGAACTATCTGCAACCTAGAGGATCCAACAACAAATGCCCCTAGGAAAGAGCTTGGACCAAAATCCCTTTTTGTTTTGTCTTCTTTAGAAGAGAGAAAAAACATAGAAGTAAGAAGAGAGTATAGGAAGAGGAAGAGATGCAGGGGAGTTCTTGCGATGAGAGAGAAATGGAAATGCAGGGCATTGCAGTGATGAGAGAGAAAGAGAAATGTGGAAGGAGCATGGACTAATCAATAGATAGAAGATAGAAGAACCTTGAAGAATCTCAGGCTTGGTAGCTGAAGTCCATCGGCAGGCCAAGCGAGAGAAAACCCTAGAGAGAGAGAGAGAGAAGGGCTTGGGCTAGGGATAAAAAGCCTTAGAAAGGACTGTATTTTTTGTTTTTGAAGGAGAGAGATGGGTTACGCGTGAGAGAGAGAGAGAGAGAGTGAGAGAGACAAGGTTGAGAGATATTATTTTAAAAAAATACAGAGCCACAATGTTTGAAGAGAGAGAGAGCTTGCTAGTTTTGGGGAGAGCAGATAGTTGTCCGGTATTTCAAACACCAGACAGCTGTTTTGCATTGCACGGTATAAACTCCACCTGTGCGGTGTCGCATTATTGGACAGGGGGGTAACTTGGGGAGAAAAAAATGCCGCGATGGGGATTGCCGCCCGTAATTTGGGATAAACGTGATCCCATTTTGTAATTGACCCCCCTAATATGGTCCGTACGTAAATTTCTCAATGATTTTCTTTACTGTCAAAGTCTTGAAAAAGAGATATTCACCTTAAAAACAAAAAGAAGTCTTGAGAAAGAGAAGAATGTGGCTCCCATTTCAGGGGATCACTCTCCATGCTTGGCATATCAAACCTTTCAATGAGGAATTAAAGATAATCCCTCCCATTTACATAGACCCCTTCCAGGTCAGGACCATGTGTCTTCTTCTACTCCCCATTTCCCCAATTGCATCAGGACATCCCTCAACTGCTGAGTTCCTATCCACGAGTGTTCAAGAAGGACGAGCCACCAAAGTCAGACACACTCTTGTTTCTCGATAGGTTCAGAAGAAATCGAGAGATCAGACAGATCTGAAGGCCTTAGAGTTGGGCTTCAAATTCCAGTCCATCATAACCCAAAATCAGGCTCCAAGATGCCCACTAGGGCTACATTTTCAAAAAAAAAAAAAGATGCCCACTATGAGGGGACTAGGCAAACCAATCAAGAAAAACACATCCTAGCCTACTCTAGCAAATTCTTCCCAGAAATCCTAGTAGTTAGAGAAGCTAAACCTACCCGGCACCCTTCCCCTAGTCCATCAAGTTTCAGGCAGGCGAGCATGTGCGGGAGGTCTCCCCACCCATGGGACCTCCACAGGTATGATCCTCAGGGATCCTCGCATTTTTGGCCTCTCCTCAGACTATATAGGCTCTTTCTCTGTAACGGGGTCAGAGTCTCCAATCAATTCAGCTGGAAATTCACAGCGGTTTATGGCCTGAATAGACCGTGCCTAAGAATAATTTTGGGGAAAACTAGATTGAGTTGCCTTCATCTCCCCTCTGTATGGGGCATTGGGTAGTACCTTGGGGTCATTGATGTTCAATGGAATTATGGAGAATGATGGAGAGAGAGAGTTTGGGACCCAAAAGAAAAAGACATGGACGGCATAGTGGAACCCCTAAGTTTCATCATAGTGGGCTATCTCATAACAAACCATAGCAGGGGCTTCCGTGTCATTTTGATGCTGTAACGGGTGATGTTTTTTAATATGCGCCGAATAATGCATATGAATTTATCTGTAAAAAGCACTAACAAAATTTCATCATTGGATTTCATTTATATTTTCCTCGTTCTGTTTCCACTTTTCACATGTCCAAAACTATTTCCATGTTACCATACAAATTTTGCTTTTTTATTTTTAGTGGGAGACTTCAAGTATGAGCACTGAGCAGGAACACGTATGTACATTTGCATGTATCAGTATTTTTTTTCTCTTTTTATCAAGTGGGAGGTGGGGGCGGGGTAGGGAGAGAGAGAGAGAGAGAGAGACTAACTCGGCCTTCGGGGCTCTCCTTCATCCGTTTAAGGATTCTTTGGAAAGCTGGTTTTCCCGTAGTCTCTCCCAAGCTAGCAATCAAGTCAGCTCTTCGAGGGTTTAACAGAGCTCCAACAGCTGAACCCACTGCCACAGCTGCCTGCTGCCATCCCTTTAACCTAATACGAGCACCTCCGTTCATTCTTCAGAAATCTTCAGCTCCTTCACCCTCTTGGAACTACGTAGATCCATAAAAAAGAGAGGGAAAAAACAAAATCATAAGAATCGAAGAATATAATCCAAAACATAGTCAAAGAATCAAATCATACCAGTCATTGGTATAGGCATGATCTTAAGATGATTAAGGTTGGCAGGAGGAGAAAGGTTCGAATAATAAGATGAATGTTTGATCACAAGGAAAATGATATCTCACATCCATACAGGACAAAATCTTACAAAAATGACGTGGCAAGTCATGCAGACTAATGCAGGTAACTAAGAATAATGAAAATAAATCATAGTTGTATTTACTTTCTATTTCAATCAGTCTTTAAAAGAAAGGATCGGACCGTGGATTAAGCGCCTGCCCGAGCCAAATGACTAAGATAAGCCGGCTCATCAAACTCACTTGAGTCATGGCCGAGCGACAAAAAGGGACAAAAATATGACCCAAAAAACAGTAAAAATTATAAAAGCAAAACCAAAAAATTCAAAAATCCATAAAAACCTGCAAACAAAAAAATCATAAAACACAGATTTGGAATAAATTGATGTCATTGGCTTGAAAAAAATAGAAAATATGAGAAAATGTGTTATTTCAAAAAAAACAAAAAACAGAAAATAAAAATAAAATAAAATAAATACAAATAATATAAATCAATATATTTGATTTTGTCAAAAATAAATAATTATATCAATTTTATGAATTTAAATTGAAAAAATAAAACAAACGCAAAATTTCGAGGTTGATCCCCCCGATCTTTAATCTCGATGCTTATCAATGCCTCCAATCCTTGTCAAAGTTTCCTCAAGCAACCTAAATCAAAACCCCCAACCCAAATTTTGGATAAATATTAGAACAGAATTTCAAATCTCTCTCATCCTTTTTTTTTTGTATTTTTTCTGAAATCAAGCCTATGATTGATCAAGAACAAGGAAATACACTTAGGATCGAATTTCATCAAAGATTGACCATTGATTGCAAAGAAATCGCAATTTTTCAAAATCGGGCATAAACTTGAACAATTTTTTCGATCTAAAAAATATGTCAAATCTGAATTTTTCTCAAGTCTATTGTTTCTAATAGATAAACTAAAATAATATTAAAGATGCAATTTTTGCTCGAATGTGCAACCATAAACCTCAAAATGGCAAAAACCAAGATCTATCAGCATAACTGAAATATAGATAACATCTAGGCTTCAAAAGATGGGAAACACATAAGCAGGAAGTATATCTGTAAATCTGCTCGGAATGGGGTGCCTACTAAAGCATTTCTCTCAGATCAGAGTCCAGGTTACTACAGGAATACATCGCTTTGTTCAGCACCAAAAGATTACTTGAAGGAGCATGGCCTTGGACTGTTTGTTTAAGTGTAAATGGGTCAAACGATTAATAGAATTCAACTATATTTGTTTCATTTGATTTCTTGGAAAGTGGCGCCATTTTGCTTTTTCTTTTTGAAAAATTGGGGTTCGAACCCACAAACTTGAGTTCGCGGTTAGGAGCTCCATACTAATAAGCTATTAGGAAGAATCACCAAATCCAACATAATATCAATGCAAACTTTAAGCATGTGTTTGCTATACATGAAATGCAAAAAAATGGGATAAGAAATGCGAAAAAAAAAGAGGTCAATATACAACAACACTAACATAATTAATCTAATTTTCTCAAAAGATCTGAATGGTGGTGTCTTCAACAATTTTAGCAAAGTTTGGATGCAGGGAATGAACCACTGCTCCCATAGATCACTAATTCAGGGTTTCCATACCTCCAAAGTAGGGCAAGAGATGACCAGCTAGTTGGAGTGTCATGTTCAAAGTTTCCTTCTAGGTAAAAATAAAAATTGAAGGAATAAAAGAATAACTATAAAACAAACTCATGGGCGGGCACAGGGAAACTAACCATTATAACTGGTTCCAGGAACTCCTGTTGTCAAATGCAATGAGAATTTCTCATCCTAATGGCTCTTGCAGAAGAAATAAAGACCAGGCATTCAAATAGCCAAATCTAGCAGGAATCTCTGAGATGATTGCACTTAAGAGTGGGAAAAAGTCTTCAACAGGAATCAAAATCAAGCCTCCACGACTAAACTTAACACCTATAGAGAAAACCTCCTATCCTTGAATAATCAGTACCAGCAATTTCTACAAAGAAACAGACCTTAAAGAGAGAGATACTGAACATTTCTTTCTACTACTGTACCCCCGTCCTTAGCACTCTCTCTCTCTCTCTAGCAAAC